AAATAGGATATTCATTCATTGAATAAGACTGATATGTTCCTTTATGTAGGTTGAATAACATATACAATCACATTATTATTATCCATTATTGAAATGTAAAATGTTTTTTCAGAAATGAATATCTTTACTAGCATTTATTTATTTAAACACATAAACAATGGTATAAGGAGGTTGTTAATTCTATCGAAACGTTCAAGTAACCCCGATTGAGATACGCACAAAATCGAAGTTACAAAATAACGATTTGTCTACAAAAGCGGTTCTTTATTAAATAAAACACAAAATTTAATTATAAACCTCAACTTGTGAGGTGTCTAGGCGTTTAAACGCGTCCTTCAAGAATGAAAATAACAAAGGCTTCCCGTAAGAGTAACATAAATAATGATTATAACATATGATAGTACAAAGACAGCCGATAGCTGTGTGTAAATGGGACAACAGTTTATGAGTAATCGAAACTCGAACAAAGAGCAAACAATATGGAAACTGTTGAGTTTAAACAAATACACAACTGTGGATAACCGTTACAGTAATTAAAGTACAGTGATTATAATGACAAATAAAATGATGAGTACAATAAACATTATAAATATATGTGAACGTTTCAGAATGTTACAGTACAACTTGCGTTACAATGTGTGAAAATTGTTAAGGACACACCTGCTTACTGAATATGAATAAGTAGTATAAAACAAAATACAAAAGAGGGGAAAGAGAGTGAGTAGGAACAATGTAAGATAAACTTAACAGAGGTACTAAATAGATATGCTTCACATAAATCATTCGACTTGTGTGAGGGCTAGGATTCTACCCGGGTGTCCAAAGCTATGTAGGTGGTTTTCTTAGGAGGCCAAATCTGCAGCCTTAGACGTAAAAGTCTAATCCAATAATAAGGGAGTGGAGCAACATCAGCAGATGCATTCCCATGGTAGCCGGTGACCAACAATTAGTCCATATGCCATTTATTTCCATAGGATTCTTCAGCCTATGTGCACCATTGGTTTGGAATGAGGGTTTTCCAACTCCCCTACGTGAATCTTCCGTATACCCCAATCCAGTTAAAGAGTCGGACATTCACTTTTCATCCTCTCAATTTCGTAAACAATAATAATGTCAAGAGAAGGCAATGAGTAAGACTTCCCTGTCAGTGGTTGTATGCATGTGACCACTTGAGAGCATTTCGAGAGCGAGAGCTGGCTTACCCCACTCTCGGCTGTATCAAGGCATTTGGGGGTGACAAGTGAAACTTAAAAATTAAATTAACTATCATCACCAATTGGTAGAATATAAATATCTAATTAGCTTAGATTCTACAGTTATTACTTAAAGCATCAAATGAATGTAAAACAGAACGAATAAATATTTATTGAATATAAAAAAAGGTCTAGACGATATGTGGTTTAGATGAAATTAGACAATAACATCGTTAGATGCCGACTAGCTCAGTGGTCTAATGTTTAGGCGTTCGTGCTTGAAACTGATAGGTCCTGGGTTCTAAACTCTAAATAATAGTTTGAAGAACTCCATAACAGAATCTTAATATCTTGGAGTTCAAAACAACTCTCTTTTTCATAGATAAAACAGATCTATATTTGAGTCTACTCTTATCCGATGAGCAAATGTTTCAAATAGATTCACAAAAGCAAGTAAAGACTTGTTAATTATTCAATGAATTGAAGACAAATTATAGTAATCTAAACTGACGAAGATCAACCAATCTATCTGTACAGAGAAGGCAACATGTACGTAAAAAGCTGAATCAAGTATTTATAAGTTAGTCAGTCAGAGACAACGCAGAACCCCATACGTACGTACGTACATCAGTTCGAGTTGCCATGCCAGATAAGCACGCAGGTACAATTGTTGATTCATATCCCATAATGGCAAAGGTAGTAAGAGTATAATCAGTAATGGGAAACATTAGGGTTTGAAGATGTTATTCAAGGAGTATAATAATCCAGTGAAATAAATTTGGAAAAAGAAAAAATAACGGACAATAAGAATTCAAAAGATTAGAAATTCGGAAGAACACAAAGTGGATGCATCTGCGCCAATTCAAACGACTTTCGGCCATGTCATTCAAAGTTCTCTAACTATCAGTTGCTATCATCTCGTGGATCCCAATCCGATAGTCTACACTTACCAATATGGCTCAACCCACTTGTCAATGATTTCATGGATTTATGCCATGTTTTGGTCTGGCCGCCCCTAGCTTTCTTTCAACCTACTATCTCACTGTTATAACTTGTGATTCGAATGCTTACTTGTTTTGTCTGGTCGTCGCTAATTGTTATGTCGGAAACACTTATACTCGAAACGAGGGACCTCCGGAATTCCCACAACTCGAAAGTAAGAACACAAAGACTGGTATAAGTGACGATTTATTAACCCAAAAACACGACGACGACCCAGTCGAAAGCACACATTTATATATTGATTGTACACCCATCTTAATTAATAATTAGGATGAATCCACATTTATGAAAAATACTTAGAGTTATAACAAATCACATATATGAGCATAGTTCATATCAATGGAATACAAGAATATCGTATATTATACAAAATAAAATATACCGGGAAAACAAAACAAGTATTACATTGAGTAATCAGTACATTGAATCAAAACGGAAATAATATTGAATAAAACCCATAAAGATTGAATCAATCGAATTTTGACTTTTCTTACCATCATCTCACTCACTAATCATTTGATATGTTTGGTTTCACCCTAAACATTAATAAGATTACAATTGATTGATCACTAGGTGGTGATCAATGTCATGTGTATCAAATCATTCTTAGTGCAGATCGAATCCTATTGACTAATTTGCAATGTGGCCACTAATCTAGGTGACTCGAAATTGCGTGCACCATGTTGAGATTAGATGTTGGTTGGAGGTAGTCAACAGAAAACCCTGAACCTAGGTTTCGTGCTACTTGCCACTCATCAGCAAGGTGTACCTGTAATCTTGAGGGGACTGGTTCTCCCTGACGGATTCGATTCCGTGTCACCGAGCTTCACAGTCAGAGATGTTAATACTGAGTTAACTGGGCCGTGAGTGACCTCCTGTAGGAGTGAGATGTATTCACAACTGATTGATCATTGGGTGGTGATCAATGTTATATATGTCAGATTCTTCTTAGTGCAGATCGAATGCTATCGACCAAGTACCATATAGCACGAAAACCGGGTCCAAGGTTTCCTGTTGACTGCCTCCAACAACCATTATTAAGTCTATTTAACTCTTGAACTTCTTCATATTTGTATTCATACTATCAATAAATACTTCATTCACCTAACTTTTCTCTTATGTTTCTTATAAACAACCACATTATCAGGTGGTATATCTTGGTTTCAACCTTTCAATGATAATTATATAAATAAAGAAAAACATCAACCAATAAGAAACCATTCAGTGATCAGACATACCAAATTAAATGATCATTCTGACTTGAAACATAATCCAAAATCATTCAAGGAATTTCATTTGAATAGTAAACGTTTACATATTTTAAACAAACCTAACAATGTACATACTTCTAAGATCTCATATTGTATGGCAACTAATAATAAAGATCTAAAAACTAATCATAATGAAGTGAATGATATTTGTTCATGTCAATGTTATATGGAAGAATCTCCTGATATAATAAATGATAAAAATCAAGGTAAAATTGATATTATGTTAACTCAATTGTTTCATTGTGCACATGATTTTGATTATATATATATCGAACGTACGTGTTACCTTGATGTGATAGTCTGACTTGCCTATCGTGATGAACTAATCAGGTTATATTGGCTAGAATAATCGTTCCTAAAAGTCCTACCATCAAATCAATTGATGCAGTGGTGAATCTTCATCGACTAAGATGGTTGGGTCACGTGTGACGTATGTCTGAACACCGATTACCATGATGCGCAATGCTGACTAGTGTTGGAGACTGTTGGAAGAAAGTTAGGGGTAGCCAAACTTAAACGTAGCATCCGTCCTTGAAGTCACTAGCTTCTAGTATTAATCATATTGATAAATGCAGACTACTTAGTTAGGGTCCATGTGACTATCGTAACCAATGGTTGGAGACTGTGGGTGACATGGCTCAGAATCGATCACAATGGCGTCGGTGTATACACTCTCTATCTTCCCTCAAACTGTGGAATTAAAATCGCTTCATATCTTTCTTTCTATGAAATATTTCTTTCTTCTATATATTACCACCACTGAAGTAACTACTTCTATGAATGCGGTGTTGATCTTGTTGTGCTGATGAGTGAGGTGTGACAACTTGGACCGATGCATATATGTGCCTGGTCCTACGTTGTAGCTGACTGACTGATTTATCATACTAAGTAGGTCGGTTGATGAGTTGTAAGAATAAGAGTAGCAAATACAAAACTCTAAGGCGAAGTTGTACTGCTGATTGTACAGAGGTATGACAGCAGTAAGGCGGTTCCCTCAGACAACCAGCATAACAACGAGCAAAAGAAAATAATTGAACTTGAGTTTTGACTATTCAGACTTTTTTCTTCAGTTATTCAAGTAAAAAGGAAAAATATTTATAGAACACTGGTATACAGTAAAAATTATCTCACTTATTAAATAACTAATGGAATATTTGATCTACTAGAACTCCATGTATATATACATTGAATCAGCCACTCGCTGGTCTTGAGTGCTGTTAGAGTTATGAGAGCGGTTATCACTTACCGGTTGCCCACACCGTAGAAGAATTCTTCTGAAGGTACCTGAAAAGGAAATCGGGGTAGAGATGGTCTTACTGACCTGAAAGTGTGACCGCAATGCCCAAGAGACAACTATTTGAGGTTGGTCACACACGAACATTTTGCGAGTAATTTTCGTGTTAGGTCCGCACTTGTTGAGACCTTACCGCCAGAGACGGATATCCGTGGGATAAGGTGAGGTGTGCATTTTTAGGGTTAACATTTTTTAACTCCAAACTTCCTTTGTGAGAAGACAGCATCGCTGTCATGCTGGTTGTCTGAAGTAAACACCTTACTGCTGTCACACCTCTGTACAGTCAGCAATACAACTTCACTCTCGGACCTTGAGTTTGCTGCTTTTAGTCTCACCGCTCTTCAACCGACCTACCTGGCATGGCAAATCCTTGAAGAACGACTGTTCCGACCAGTATAGTTCGATTGGTTGATTGCGATAGGCCATCCCGATCATCACTTCAAGGTAGCAGCAACAGTAGATGAACCTAAATAAATTTTGTTAAAAGATAGTGACATTTATATTGTAACTCATTGATTAACTATTTTTCTGCAGAATCTACTATTTCACAGTTCATCAGCAAAAATTGCCAAATAGTCTAAAGATAAAATAAAAAATTAATTTTCAGTTGTATAATTTCCCTCATCAAATACAGGTAAAGTGATACTTTTATCAGTATAGTACTGTGGAGATTGTTGAGTTTTTATTTAGATCATGAATTGATCCCTTGTGCAGAATCGTGGATGCGCACTGTTGAAGAGTCCCATTCTGGGACGAAACGGTCATCCAGTGCTTCCGAGTATTCGATGGTGGTCTAACATTGATACTTTTATGTTTAAATGTGATTTGTTGTGTAATTTTTTGTTTTATAGTAGAAGATCACATAATCTCAACGAAATTACCGGTTGTTTTGTTTTATTTCAGAACAAACTGTAACATCGAAATCACTGGTAGATATACAATGTACTAAACTTCACCATATGGAGAATACAACACCACTACTACATACCGTGGACAAGTCGGCCCACGAAGAGAAATCTAATAGCTTGTCAAATCCAAAAATAACTTATGAAATTAGCGATAATCTTGATGGTTGTACAGATATTCAGGATATATTTCGAAAAAAAATGTCATCATGGATATCACGAAGTGAAGAACGTCAAAGACGTCTACGTTTTATTATTCAGGAACGTCGTTATCGAAAAGAAGGAGATATGAAACGAACTGAAGTCTTACATTCAGTTGTATCAAATAATTTTTCAAAACGACCATCTATATCTCACTTGGATCAGTCATATAAAAATCACTACGGTAATAGAATTCATTCAAATGGTGATAGTGGAATTTGTTGCTTTGATCGTTCAGATTGTTCAATTGTTCAATCTGTACTAACAAACAGAAATAATAGTAATAATTATATTAAAACAGCTAATTCTGACAAGGTTCTTAAACGTAATTCCATGAAAAGTAAGTCTGTGATGATTGAATTTCATTTCTATGTGATAAAATGTTTTGCTTAAGTCATTTTACAGTTATCAATGATAGGATTCATAGTGAATAAATGCGATGGCGTTTGAAGTGAACGGTACTGAGTTCGAGTTCCAGAGTGAACATCAACTTTGAGATGCAGGTACATCCAGCTGACGAGTCCCAAATAGGTCGAAACGCGCGTCGAACTAGATTCCACCACTAGTCACTATCCATCTTTGCTTAAAAATACCTAAGTAGTATTGATGATATTTCCGTTAAAATAAAAAGCTGACAATAAATCAATACACCATTTGACATCTACCAAATTAGATGTACAATGGTATGTTTAAACTTCTGGATTAACATTTATTTTCGAATGTTTACACTTTAGATTTGTTTTAATTCACCAGTTATGTCTATTAACCACACGAATTTATGCAAAAGATGCTCATACGACGATCACTGGGAAACCCAAGGAGCAACGTCGCACTATGGTTCGAATATTTCCCTCCTTCATCATTGAATTCCCACTGAGTCGTGGTAATTGAAACTTCCAACGATCAACTTCAATCCTATCCCTGCCTGGATTGTTATAGAAGATAAACACTATGTTTTCGGCTATGTGATCGATTGCCTGAATTAACGTTGAGTGAGAGATAGATCGTGAAAACCGTATCAGTGAATGGATGTAAAGAGGGCACATAGTCAGGCAGCAGAAAAGCATACTATCTGCTCAGTAAACCTGTTGACTTGGAAGTTTTACAGGACGAAATCTGTTCAACAAAATAACTTTGAAGAGACGAAAACTTATTAAGATTATAGCCATGATTTTTATGGGTTCACATGAACATGTGACCGAATTGTTCTTATCGACTTTTCCTCTTTCCCTCTCTATCTCACTTTTTTCCAAAGAAGCTTTCCATCGAATAATGTACTCTTTGTTCCTACATGGTCACTTTTGTTTTATTAGTAGATCAGTTTAAATGTTACCTTGTAATTGCATTTTGACTAAATTTAGTAGTTAACTTATTGGTCTTCACAAATTTTGATTTTATTCTATTGGTAACTTTTTTTGAAAACAATCATTTAGATCCCAGTCGAAAATCACAACTTGGTGTTAGATATGATCGAAAACAGTTAGTACAAGAAGAACATCGACCTAGGTAAGTATTTGTCAATGATCTTACTAGCAACACATAATGCATATATTTTATCAATGTAGGGACGGCTTCCGAGAACTACGACGGAGCCTTCAGAGGCCTTAGAAGATCCAAAAAGTCCCATCTAATCAGAACTCAATGAAGCTTTCTAGAATGTCAACGTGGTATACTATCATTGATCAGTAGAGTAACATGCCTCTTTGCGGATTGGTTGAATTATAATGTTGATTTAACAAACGCCAATATCTATAAGTACCCATGATTTTCTGTATATTTTGATTCTTTCCCAACAACCACTTTCTTCAGTCTTCTTCTATCATCTCATTTGCGACTTGGGAGGGTTCTAGAGTTCGAGTTATACGTGGTATATTAAGAATCTAAGCTCTAGATATAACACAAAGCCTAAATACAATAAAAAAAATTCTTTGAAATTGATCACAGTCGTCAAATTAATGTTATAAGCCACATCTTGAACTTACAGATTCATGCACAGGGTCCTAATTTTGGTAGAATCAAGAAATGCGAAAAGATAAACTACCGACCTATTGAATTACATCGCAAGTCAGGTATAAATAAAATAATCACATCCTTCTCTATAGACATTAGTAAATAAACCCTTTCGTGAAGATTTCATTATTTCCATTGAATTAACTCATTATTATGAACATGGTAACTACTGCTTAGTTTGTTATTCCTCATTGAGTACCCAAATGCCCTGGTACGGCCAAGAGTGAGGAGAGTCATCTTTCCCTCTCGAACTGCTCTCACATGGTGACGCGTGTACAGCCACTGACAGCGAACTAAAACTCACTGCCATCTCGCAGCGGGGGTATTTTTTACGAAATTGAGACGACGAAAAACGAATGTCCAAAGCATTAACTAGGTTGGTGGATATGGAAGACCCACCTAGGGGAGATGGAAAACCCTCATTCCAAATCAATGGTGCACATGGAATTCAGCATCCTAAAGGAACAAATGGCTTATGAACGAATCGTCGGTGATCGGCTACCATGTGACTGCATCTCCTTACGTTGCTCCACTACCTTGTGGATCAAACCTTTAGGCTGAAGTCTCCGGGTGTGGCCCCCTATGAAAACCACCTGTTCCAGTGTGGGCACGCGGGAAGTATCCCAGCCCTCACATAAATCGAATGATTTATGTGGCGCATATCTATTTGGTGCCTCCTTGTACCAATGTTTAAATAAATAAAGATTACGCATTGAGCAAGACAGTTCGTAAATAGTTGCATCGAATGTGGACGTTTACAGTTGTTACTGTTATGATTACATCATTATTCTGTTATGATCTATTCTATACTTGTGATATACTTATTGCTAAGGCTTTAAAATAACACTAACTAGTTACTTACTCATAGTTGCTAGCAAAATATGAATAATATGTGAATAGTTAACCATCATTGAACTTAATGAATGATAGAATTTTTAGGAACACCAAGCTTTTTCTTTGTTATAATCAGAAAAGGTTTTTTGTACATATTATAGTACTTTTTAATAATTGAATTCGTAAGTCAATTGAAGCTAGATCATCATGGAAAACCTGGAAGCACTGGATGGCCGTTTCATCCTAGTACAGGACTCCTCAACAGTGCGCATTCACGACCCCACTTCGCGAGATTAGAACCGAGTGTGGTGTGTGCTACTTATATTGACATAAGTAGTATATGATGTAGGTCGTGAACAGAAGGTCTGACAACAGAGAGACAAGAGGATCGAACAGTAAAGAATGGAAACAAAATGCAATTTGTATGAAAATGCAAGAACAATGAAGTATGAGTCATTTTGAGACAATTGGTGGACATTTTGCAAATTAAGCATTTGCTTTATGATTGTTCGATTTTATTAGCAAGTCTTGTAATATTGTGTTAAGTGCATTCGATTGTCTCCACCTGTGTTCTCTTCACTACACCAGAACCTATCAGTTTCGCGCGTGATTGCTGAACCTTTAGACCGCTGAGCCGGTATTTAACAGTGTTAATTTCTAAATCCAACCAATCCAAGAAGTTGCGCCACAGTTCACTATTGTCATCAGTAAGTTACTATCTAAAAGATGTCAGTTTGTAGGTTAGATTGACAGATTGTTCTTTCGTCTCTATTAGAGAATATGAATTATTTTCTGCTCTTTTCTTCTTATTTAATATAGATTATATCATAATACTATACAGAACCAAGTTAATCAACAAAAAATTAAATTGGCCCAATTACGTGTTAATCGACTCCGAATGAAAATATACAGTGAAGTAAGTAATTCTATTTGTTTATTAATTACACTTTAGATTCTATAATTATTTACAATTCATCGATCACTAGGTGATGATCAATATCATGTATGTCAGGTCATTCTTAGTGCAGATCGAATCCTATTGGCTAAGTTTCAATGTGGCCACTAGTCTAGATGATTTGAAATTGCGTCAAGATGGTGATTGAAGGTAGTTAACAGGAAACCCTGGACCCGGGTTTCGTGGTACCAGGCATCCATCAGCAAAGTATACCTGTAACCTTGAGGGAATTGATGCTTCCTGATGGATTCGATTCCGTGTCATCCAGCTCCACAGTCAGAGATGTTACTATTGAGCTATCCAGGCCGCGACTGACCTCCTGTAGGAGTGAGATGTAATCACAATTGATTGATCACTGGGTGGTGATCAATGTTATGTATGTCAGATTCTTCTTAGTGCAGATCGAATCCTACTGACCAAGTTACAATATGGTCACTAGTCTAGGTGACTACTCGACATTGAGTGCACTATGTCAGGGAGCATCAATTTCCCCAGGATTACACGTACACCTTAGTGACGAGTGCCAAGTAGCACGGAACCCGGTTTTAGGGTTTACTGTTGACTACCGCCAACTACCATCTTATATAATTATTTATCTGTCTATTAAGTTTTTTTTTAATTATGTGTATGTTTGTTGAAACTTTTTTTATTTTAGAAAATTCTACGTTCTGTACTTCATGGTAATTCATCGTCAATAATATTTAAAGAAATTTGATAGAATGGCAATTTCGACATGTTGGAGAAGATTTATAACTCAGATGGATGATTTTGATAGAGTATTTTTGTTTCTCTGAGATAAATGATTTGATTGTGGAGTATTCATTGTTCTTCTAAACAACATCATCAACAACACAAACTTCAAGTACAAGTGAAGTGTTCGAATTGTGTTGATGATTATCGTTGAAAAGTACGATGAAATCTTCATGACCAAATCATCCACCAGCTCAAAGAACAATACTCTATCATAATCGCGATTGAATGTCCTAATATATATATATATATATATATATATATATATATATATATATATATATATATATATATATATATATACATTATATTTGAAGTAATGCTTGAAATGATTAGTAATGAGAAACAACTTTTACTGTAATTTAATGTTAACATTTTATTAGTTTTGTCTTGTTAACTTTTATTTTTAATGGTTTCAGGATGATTTTAACTTTATTAACATAAAATGCCATTCACCATTTCATTCATCCCTGTGTCATAATTATGATTTATAAGCTGCTTGAATTAGTTACAATATAACTTACAAACTTCTTTTTTTCTTTTTAAATAAACTTGGTTCATCAACTTTCAATTGTATTTTCACACGTATCGTACTACTCAGTATGAAATTTGTTACCTTGTTTCTAATATAAATGGATTGTACTATTTAATGTGTTGAGTCTTGTACTCGCTGACAACTAATGATTATTTATTATAATATTGATACAGTGAGACACCAAATACATATGCGCCACACAGATCTCATTTGATATGTGTGAAGGTTGTGATACTGCCCGGGTGCCAAAACCGAAGCAGGCGACTTTCTTAGGGGGCCACAACCGGAGCCTTCGACCTAAAGGTCTGATCCACAAGGTGGTGGAGCATCGTAAGGAGATGCAGTCACATGATAGCCGGTAACCAACGATTGGTTCATACGCCATTTGTTCCTTCAGGATACTGGAGCCCATGTGCACAATTGGCTTGCAATCAAGACTTTCCAACTCCACTAGATGGATCCTCCATATCCACCGACCCGGTTACAGCATCGGATATTCGCTTTTCGTCCTCTCAGTTTTGTAAATAAAACCCCCGCTACGAGAAAGCAGTGAGTAGGATTTCCCTGGCAGAAGCTATATACACACGTGGCCATGTGAGAGCACTTTAAGAGGGAGAGCGGACTCTCCCCACTCTCGGCCGCACCAGGGCATTTGGGGCACTACTTACTTACGCCTGTTACTCCTCGTGGAGGAGCATAGGCCGCCCACCAGCACTGTCCGCCTGTAGCTCTTCTAGAGTTACTGCCGGTCCCAAGTCAGAGTAAAAGAGGGGGTTGGGCATAGGGTTAGCGACCCCATCCCGTAGAAAACTCACCAAAAAAATGCTCACCAGAAAAAATAATTCAAACCAGTCTATAAAAATTAGGACCAGTTTAATCTTATACATAACTTTTTTCCTTGAGGTATATTCACGTTTTATTAAAAGCCTTGTTTCGATCTGAAAACAGGTCGGATGAGGTGAAGTGTCCTAGAATATTAGGCCATAGAACAAAACATAGTACTAATAAACTAAATTTAGTTCCTACATGCAGGTGTATAGAACAAATACACCATATTCAATCAATACTGCTCTGTATAATTTGAAACGAAAATTAAGGGTATGTTATTGAAGTGAGGAGAGTATGTAATAGTAAAAGTAACATAGATTTATACATCATCATAATCTGTATTTACTGCACCTTTGAACTCATTTGTTTTATCAACAGTTAGAATGTGAATAGGAAAACGCCAATTAAAGGCATGAGTAATAAATGAGTCAATTTTGTTCAGTGATATAGATCGACGGAGATCAGAGAAAAAACGATAATATTGGTGGGAATTGTGACTAAAATTGTAAAGAAAGAAACAAATTAAACTCATGGATTTCGGTTTTCAAAGTAAACTGAAAAATAAATTGTGTAGATCGTTCGAATAGTATGGTATGATATTCAAATAGTCGGGGGGGGGGGTATTGTTAAGCTTTACAATTATTACCTTTCAAAAACTGACAGGAGTTGAAATATGATCGAAAAGTTCACAACCACCTTTACTATACAGCAGAAAATCCGTTAATTTGTCTTATCTATGGACTTTTTAATGAGAATAATCTATCATCTATTGTCATTAGACAAGATTTCAACATTCTAATATTGTATACAGTAATACTGAGCAGACTTTGTTTCGTATGAAAATAAACCAATCTAATGTTCTGATCTATTTTATTGCGACCAAGCTACTCTAACTGCTTATTCTTTGGATGTTACTATTTCACTCGACAAGTCCCCAAATCAAAACACAGTTGAACAGGAACGTAATTATATATATATATATATATATATATATATATATAATTTTATACAAGAAGGCTCCCGTCCTACTTAATTACTCGCTAGCGCATTGGCTAAGAAATGGTCAGACAGTGCGCTCCAACACAATCCTGCACAGAGCGTGCTTCAATTCAATCTGTCCTGTTGACACCTAGATGTCAGTCGTTTTATTTGTTTGGGGTTAAAGGTACTAGAGTATTAGAACAACGATGCCATTAGCGTTCGCTGTTCCAAAGTTAGATAAAATTACCAGTCAGACGGCTGTTAAGCTTGCTAGATACAACTAAGTAAAATAGACGTTTAGTCGGGAGTGTATGTGGTCTGAAGTCTGTTTTAATTCAGAGTCCTGTTGGCGATTGTATCAAAATTAAAACTGAAACTATATATTTCAATATCACGGTATACCGATTATCAGGTCGGATTAAATGAAGTTGTGTAGTACTATTGATACTTGCTGGTCTTAAATGTATGCCGAAGATTACAGCTTCAACGCCCCTGAATGTCTTAGTACGGTCGGCGGTGAGCTCATGCTCTCTCTTGAAATGTCCTCATGTGGCCATATGTTTATAACTTTTGACAAGGAAGTCCTAATTACTGTTTTCTAGCGGCTGAAGTGTTTTACGGGAGCGAAGGAACAAGGACGGAGGACCTAATTGTAGGATTTGAGAGAGCCAGACTTAAAACTGACTGTATACACTATCTCCATGCTTCGTGAGGACGGACAGTGTCACTAGTTACCATGGCACTAAAGGTCCTGACGTTGCACAACGGACTATACCTCCATGTCGAGGGTTCAGGGAGTGACCTCTTAAGAAAACCAACTACTTTTGCTTCAACGCCTAACCAGCACCCCAGACACTGCACAAACTCCTCTGTTTTAACTTTCTTTACTTCTTTATTTCCAGTTCATGTACACTTCTACTCCTTCGACAATCAACAATTTGTCTATAGCGAGGGTTTTGTCTTGTTTAAACGGTTTGGTCTTTGAATAGTTGACTTATGGGTATTGTGATAGGATACGATACTTGATACAACTCTTTCGTAATTACGTATGCCATTTGTACTGGTCTGTTTCAACGTCAGAACTTTGATACACATTGAACAACAAACACTTTTAGCTCTGTCTTCGAGAATTCGTTGTTTGCAGGTCTAATAACGGTGACCATCTAATGTAGATGCGTAGACCAGTCTGTTTCCAACTAACATTGAATTCTTGCATAGTTATAGACGACATGATACCTGGTGTCCTGTTTGTGATTCAACCCTCGACCAAGATTGATCACATCGCAACTGGCTTCTGTGGAGTTTGTACAACACCGTACCCTGAATACTGAGTAGAATTGATTGCTAATCCGTCAGGTTTTCTTGAAAAGATCAAGTTCCAACGTTATATGCAAAGTTAGTGAATTGACAGGAACAATTATTCAAAGTTAACTGCAACAGACAATTCACATTCACGAAATATGTAAATAATCATTGGCGTAAACGATTATTGAATAAAAAAAAGAAAAAAAGAGAACTCACATCATTAGTAACATAGGAGCCAACATTTCTTGAGCAATATGCAAATGAGATATGTATATCCGTGTGTGGTGTAAACATGTGAAACAATTACATCCAGGTTGAATCGGTAAGTGCCAATCCTCTGCATCCAAATTATAGGACTCTTCAAAGGGAAACTCTAAGAATTTTGGATCCGAAACCATGCTAGAGAGGTTATTTTCATTCCAGTCTTTGTAAATCCAACCAATCCCACTGCGACTGAGTCGGTATGGCAAACTACCATCAAATATGTCACATCCTGAACTAGCTGCCAGGGCAATATCACATGGTTGCCATATTTGAGTAATAAAACGTGGGAGATGAGGTGGAATGTGAGCGAATACTTTGGGCAAAGTAGTGGTTAGGAATTCGTGTAAACCTTTGTTTTCATCGCTATAGGTTTTGACTTCAACTGAAGATACAGGCAAATCTCGAAGTACACCATCAATTACTACACCTGAATATGATGGAAATTGGCGGAATTCACACATATATTGATACATATCGTTTAGGAAAAGTATAAAAAATTTTCCGAGATAAATAAATTTTAGTCAGTGATACATAACCACAAATTCCAAAACCCTAGCCTATTTCACTTTTTATTCATACATTACGTCTATTTGGCATTGCTGACTCGTCTTTACCAATTTTTATGATTGACTGCTAACGTTTCTTAATATTTTCTATATGGGATGCAGTAGGGATACAACTATTTACTGCTCAAACTCCAGAAAACAAGTGAGACATGAGAAACTTCATTTTATCTGGGTGCCACTGCTTCCAATGATATCAATCACTTCATGTAATATCAGTTTCAATTCACTGAATTGCAAACATCGTTATCAGTTAAGAACAAGGAAGTTAGAATTCTATGTTTTCGTATCAGGATATGGACAGTATTTATGTGATGATACGACTTTACTGCTTTACTAAAGTAAATAATGAATTCGGAACTGTGATAATACTCGGTAGTGAAAAGTTGGGATATATAGTATTTGAAACCTCATATTATTATAGAGTTAGAAAGTACAACTGTTATGAATGTATTGAAGGAAGTCCGGAAAGCCGTACAAATTTTGAAACTTTTGTAAGTACCGATTTCCGTCTCTATTTACTGAACGTATATTGAACAAAAAGCATGATCTAGTTAAAAATAAACATAGAAAACCTAGGTTAGATCATGGGTATATACCTGAACAAAGTGAGAAATCTGTTTCAGCAACTGACCGAAGACGAAGCTGTAGATCATAACCACCGGCGATGGATACAAGTACCGACCTTTTTGCGAACTCCTTATAAATAAGAAAAAAAAGGTTGCTGTAGATTATGAGTGTTTTTAGATAGAAGCGAAGATAAAGTTACATAAATCAACTGTTGTTTCTGAGTTCATATTTATTCATAAAACGCGTCGGAGTTAGCAGCACTATCCCACTATCTAACTCAGCTCAGACTGTAACACTAACCAGATAGCCTTGGAGACTTTACGTCAACAATGCTTAGTTGGTGGATCTATTACACAAGAGGAACGGTTTGAAAAAAAAGACAAATTTGTTCAGTTACTTCATCGCTATGTGGTATAAAAACGTAGTTTTATGAGGTGTACTTGTTCAGCTGTCACAGGTGGTGAAAAATTAAGCTTTAGTCAGTCACCAGTACAGAGAAGAGTCAAGACATCCAAAAAGTTGGTATAATACAATACAATCAATGACTTTTGTTTCATAAGCTGAAAAAGCTCTGATCAGGACGGGATTTTATCGTGCACATAAATTGTTTTCATAGAAGAGTGGAGAGTAATTGAAGGTTGTCCGACGGATAATATTATATTCACAAAATTTCGTCAGCATGTGATGATAAAAACGGAGGAAATACTTTGCAATGGCCTACGAAAAGCCAATTGTCCTACGACTTGGAAAGAGTGATTGTGGACCAGGAGCCTCGCTAAAATGGTTGTATTCAGCTCCTAAACTAATTTCGTCATAAAAACAAAAACTGATCATTTATACAGTCAAAAGTGGACATATTCTCACCATATGCCAAATCAGATTGTTTACCAGTTTACAAGAGCGTGCTGAAGTACATACATTAGGACAAAAGAGTTATTGGTCATACTTTCGTAATCCAAATGACAAATTCCACGTCAATCGTGACTAACATGTCAACATATTTTTATCAATACAGGTAAACTTATAACATTTTAGAATGACATATTAGCTAGATCTATCTAAATGAGACGGTCTTTTTACAAACGGTTAACTCGATCTATCGACTAAACACTTACAGTGTCAGAAAGTTGTCTGAAATTACAAATGAAAAAATCTAAATAGCTACACAAGGCATCATTTTCTATCAATACAGCATACCTCATGAGATGTACATTCTGAAGCTAATTTCTTCAAGTACCCTGAAGTGCGGACGACGGAATTCGTAATTCGCTTTAATGTTGGATTCACATCTAACAGAAAAGTTTCGTTGTCAGTTGGCGCTTGGAATGCTGTCGGTGACGCAATCCTACTGCACGTAAAATATTCCGCAATCGACAATTGCAACCGCCCACCAGTTGTCCAAACTGGGACCGACGATTTACTAACAGCCGCTACAGCCGCCAAGTGGGTTGGATCTGACTGGAATAGGAACGCACCACGTTTCTAAATAGCCACGTTAACAATGTAACGTCATACCCCTAAACCAGCAAGTTTGACAATACCACCACCGAACTTCGTTAGAGAAAACCTGCGTTCCGCTCTATAAATAAACTCAGAAGTCATCCATAAACATACACGTAACCCATGGAAGCGAAAGAAAACTCTGGTAATAGCTCTATTTTTTCATAAACGTCTGGAGGAAGGAAAGGAACACTACCTGAAAATAACTCATATAATTATATGTCACAAACCATATCTTGTGTACAATAGACATCCAGGAGTTTGTAAGTCTATCTGAAGATGGTTTGTGCTCTCTGAAAGTTTCCCCAGACGCATCCATTCACCGAAAGTATGAAGAACATCGAACTTTACCATTATGTATAACGTAAGCACCCAATAAATCAAATAAGAACGATTGGATCTAGGTGGATAGAGATGGTGTGATATTTAACCGTTGGTAAGTTTGGGTCTAGTCGGTAGATAAGTTATATCGAGTGAACAAAAGCGTATGTACAAAAATGTGGAAAAATGATGTGATTTGGAAGTAAGTACTGTACATTCACAGTTATTAGAGTAGCAGAAAAGCGTGAACTCAGAACAATTTAATAAGCTAAGCTGAGGAAAGTGATGTTTTAAACGTGTTAAATTAACAGCGAACATAAATCAAATAGCCCCTAGTGATAAAAATAATGTTTCCATTTAACCTGAAGGTATGATGTCCCAAGGTTATGAAAGATCAAGTGGAGTGAGAATAAGAGAAAAATTATGCCAAAAACTTAGCAAAATGTTTAAACTTAGAAATAATAGAACAATCGGCAACAATTAGTGCAGCATAAGAGTATTTTGGAGATCGTGAAAGATACAAACAAGATTTCAAATGCGTTACGATATAGAAAACCAGGTTGTGTTGTCGATAAATTTTGGCTGGCGGACAGGCTGAAAATTATAGGACGGAGCAAAACTACGATGGACTGTATACGATCACGTTCAAAACCGATAATTATATTCAACCGGGGCGATTAAGTCTAACAACGATGGGGAGGTACAACTCAAATAAATGCCTAGGAATTTCCATAAATTAGATTCTCAGTTAGGTGAGTACAGGTCTTCGGCTTGATGAACCTATAACAAGTGACAATCGCTCAACTATACTTATCCACCAACCAATTAGATGTAACCTTCAGCCTAAGATTACGAGGAATAAGTTACCTTATGTCACGTTTTAATCTATTGTGTTGTTTATTTGCAAGCAGAAATCTTGTCCCCAGAACACAAGGCGTAGAAAGTCCCTTGACTTCTTATCGTTTGTTCATGTTTCTTCAGACTTATTCTCGGACGTACATTATGAGAGACCTGTTTATTAGATGTACCACCTGATTGTCGAACTAATTCGATTATTCGTGTTGCAATCGTTCACTATACCAGTGCCAACGATACATTAATGTATGTTAATTATCATGCACTTCAAACGAAATGGCTACTTGGGTCTATATTAAGCGTTTTATCATTGATGATAATGAGATCAATCATTTAATCGTCTATCTTAATGCGACTAATCGTTAATTAGCGTTCAGGTTGTGCCTACTAAAATAAATAGCTTATTGTGGTTAACTGACTTGAAGTTGTCTGGACATTGTATCTAATTCCTTCTTCCTTTACTAAGTGATACTGTTTATTTCATTCATATTGTTTCTGATTACTGAAGCGCCTAAGTAATTTAATTGCTACACATGTAATTGTTATATCCCAATCTCCCAATTTCGGGGAAAATTTGCCGCATTTTGGGGAAGCCGCTATAGAAAATTAATAAAACCCCAAATTGTTTTCAAAATTTAGAGAAAACTTTGGGTTTTTCCCAAAAACTTTTATTGTTATGTAACAATTACGTTATTTAGGCTCTGATCATATGGGTCGACTCTTAAGATTATAATCCGAATTCACACTCACTACTATTCACCGACATCAGCTTCGTTTTTTGACATCTAAGCTGCCTATTTTAGATGGCAAAAACTTAGTACGCATCACTAATGATCTCAATACTCATACTAGAGTATGTTACTTTGAAATAGATATCCTGTGATAAAGGTCGTAAATAAATAGCATACTAGAAATTATAATTCAATGACGCCACTATTCCGCAAAGTGGTAAAAATATCTGGACCACATAGAGATACCAACACATGTAAAGGTAGAGTAAAAATCAAAAGTGTCACGGGAAATAGAATTCAGATTCAACCAATATCCAATATCTTTGTCGCGATTTTATACAAACCGAATGATTTTCTTGTGCTTACTTCCAGCTGTTTTAATACAGTTCCAGGCATTTGATAATGCCTAATTGTTGGTAGTCTAGACACTCGACTACACTAGTTCTAGTCAGTTTGGTAGTTATTTGTAGATTTGTATATCATTTACTATGAGAGTGTGTGTTTGTCTCAAAGGAGTAGGATTTATGGTTACCAGAAACTATCACATTACCAGGAAAGAAGCTGGTTGGTTGTCATGTGAAAATAACAAAGCGATAATTCGAGTGAAAATAGAAGACGATTGTTCCAAGAATAAATTGGTAATATTTATGGAGATTGAATCGAAAGAATAAAAAGGGGAACCTAAGTGGTAATTAGAGAGTTAGCAAGTAGATGCTGATATACGGTAATGATAACCGTGATAGAATGTGAAACATACATCATATCTAAGAAGGATGCTGTAGAGCCAGTGAAATGTCACTGAGCCTTAGCCAAATCACTCCACAGTTGGGTTACAGAATATCGAACAAATCATCGATCCTCGTCAAATTCAGGGACAACCAACGCGCATCAGTTAATCGTATGCTGTGGACTAGCCCGTCTGGTGGTGGTCTTACTATCTTCTCTGTACTCATTCTTAAAAACACGTTTCGCTAATAACGTCCTTCGTGTCGTACGGTCTTCAGAGCATCCTTAGTAACTTGATCATACGTAATGTTAATCCCCATTAGGTGCTGGCAGCGAGTTGTGATTTCGGCGTTAGGTGTTGGTCACAACATTCCCATCTAACTGAAGTAGCCTCCCAACCATTCGACATAGATCACCAACGTTGATTGTCTACAAGATGGCAACTCGTGTATCAGCACGTATCTATCAAATCTCTCTTTAAAGCTAACCATTGATGGTACTGTGGTCATTTTGATTAGGGGAGAATTGCAAGTTGAGACAACTCATACAGAGAGAAAGTGAGAGCGTACCCGGGTGTTCTCTCTTTGGTGCGTTCTCTTTCGAGGGTTGACACGAGCAACGTGGTGTTGATGTTCTAGTAGTATTCTCTTCTTGCAGTGGCTTGGCAGACTTAAATCAGGTATGATATCATCAGATCACCTTTAATCCTCTTGCAGTTCGATGAGAATAATCACAGGTGTTGAATTCTATTCTCCTACAAATTATGTTTTAGCCACGCTAACAAATTTGATGTCTGCCTTACACATTAACCTCTTTGTTACTCGCTGATCAACCATGTACAACAATGTTCAAGTAACCCTCTGTTACAGTAAAACCATAACCCGCTTCAAAAGTCCCTTTTATGACTTTTCCAAACTGATTTGTGTCAACTATTACTATCAGAATGATAACCAATCGTCTATGAAACAAGATCCGGTATTTATTTAATTGACTATAGAGCAAAGCAGAAGCCTCGAAATTTCTCTGAATTGATTTTTCCACGAAACTACTAAAAGTCCGCTGCTGTTCGTGTTTATTATTATCATCATGATTGGTCCTCTGATACATTAGACATTTGATTTACTTTACTCCCACCCTATTTCCTAATTTATGAACTTTACTCCTATCCACCCACAGTTTCTAGTTTTTAAAAAGACTGTTCTGTAATACACATACTCAAATAAACAGATTTTCCAGATTTATTCGATCTGGCCCATGCAAATAGATATATGCCGATTACTCTCTGCAATTGATTAAGAATTCCATCGCATCATTCTGAACTATACTGAATGAATTATTATCCAATCATCAGTTTTATTACATCGATTATTTGTCTGTAATTCCTTTTGTAATGCATATGTTATCATATATTCTTGTTTTGTTTCCCAAACACAGTAAATTGTTCATACATTACACCTCACCTCCCTTCATCCTTATAATAAATTCAACTCAATTTCCTTTTAAATGCTGCAAAACCTGTTTAAATATTACGACTATCATGTAAACATCGTGGAAATATGTGTAGATTTTCATTTCTGACAAAATCCGAAAAGATTTCTCAACGACAGTTATATACTAGTGAGCTGTTTGTGAATAATCATGATAACAGTAATAATAGCATCTCTGATTGAATGGACATTACATGTGTTTCCTGATTTTCAGTAGGGCTTCATGAAGGATGTTGTTCTCATTTATGTGTTCCCTCATTTGTTCATTGACCAATCTTTCCATTACCTTCGACATTATGGGGAGTAACGCAACAGATCTGTAACGGTCTGTATCTTTTCTATCTTCTCCCTTGAATATAGGAAAGAAAGTGGTCTGCCTCGTTCTCCTGAGAGCTGTTAAGGATCAAGTGAGTGTCAGAACAGATCACAAACTGATGTGCTGATGGCTTCCGCTCACTGTCATAGGATAATATTTTGGATGTTGTCACATCCTGGTGAGTTTGAAGTACTCAATGGTTTGAGTTTCTTTAGTACTAAACTTAGAATTAACCGAATATTATCCACACGCTCTAGCGAAGCTTAAGCGCCACAGAAACATTTGCTACTTTATTGTTTATGTACATGTAAATCCAAAGAACCTACCAGCTATCTTTCACAAAATAGCGACGGGGTAGTGTAATAAAATGATGAACTAACCAGAAAACCAGTGGTATCGTCTGGCTCGTCATTGTTTCGTCTATTGCTGCGTTAGCCTTTCTGAATATCCCACCTGATACCTCAATGGTCTTCCGTATCATTCATTGGTATTCTTCCTCCCGCACTGTACCCTTCTGCTGTTGACAGCGACTCACGACACTTACCGGCTCAAACTAGAACCCACCACCGAAAAGGAGAGTAGTTCTGACCACTAATCAACATGAGGGGCAAACCAGAATTCAAATAGAGGCCCGACATAGTAAGAGGACAAATAAAAATCAAACCTGTCGCGACTAGAATGTTCACGTTTAGTTTGAATGTGAAATAAAACTAGATAAATGTGATCAACTACCAGACCTGACGAAGTGAATATAAAATCATATAGAAAGCAGTTTTGTGTCGGAACATTAATAAGCTCCAGTCACAGGTAAAGTGAGAGATTTTCGGGAACCATGCTGTTTACAATTTTCATAGTTTTAAGTCATGAACTGATCTCAAACTACCGTTGGCAACCTGGAAGCACGAGATGGTTGTTTAG